ATTATGCTGAGAGAAATATCTCAGTCACAAAAGGAGAAATATTGCATAGGGCCACTGTTGTAAAATGGGCTGACATCAGGGTTGAGAGAAAGCAGAAAAGGAGGGGAGGAATGATGTATATGGCATTTAAAAAGATGAGGGAAAGAACTGTTTAAAAGGGATCTATGAATGGGTATTCTTGTCATTATAGAAGTCCAGAGTGAAGGCTGCATAGTGGAGTGAACTTGGGGGGGAGGGAGTGCATAACAATGAAAGAGTCAGGAGAAGAGTGAATTAGGGGGGGGGAGAGGGAGAAAAGTGTAACAATGAATGACTGGAAACCCTAAGTCTCTGTTAACTTTTATTAAAATTAATTAATTTTTTTAAAAAGAAATAGGATGTTCTCCCTATGTAAATATAGATGCACTTGAATAAAGAAAATAAATCCTATGTTTTAAATTGTGTTTCATTATAAAACATCAACTTCAACGGAGACATTTTAGTACCAATGAGTAAGATAAGAGTATTAGCTAATATATTTATATTTAGGCAAAGTAGTAGAAACACAAGCAGTGGAATGTACATGACCCAAGACTCTAAACCACAGTCCAATGCTTTTGTCCCTGTAGATATCATTTTCTCCATCCTCAAGGTGAAGAGGGTGACTTTATCATTAATTCTTACAGGTATGGAAGTATTTACTAGTTTCTATGACCTAGTCCCTTTCACTGATTCTGTCCTACATAGAAGCTCATCCTCTCCAATGTTTATTATTTGCTGCCTTGTTAAATTTTGCACTGTTACTGGAGCGAGATGGCACCTCAATGTGGTTTTGATTTGCATCTCTCTTATTGCCAGTGATTTGGAACATCTTTCATGTGTCTGTTTGCCATTCAACTATCTTCCTCTGTGAAAATTCTTTCCATGTGTTTTGCCCATTTTGTAATTGGATTACCAGTCTTTTTCTTGCAAAGGCCCAGAAATATTCTGTAAACTTTTGTTATAAGACTCTGGTCTGACATGGTATTACCAATGTTTGTTCCCAGTCTGATGGTTTTCTTTTCACCCTGGTTGGAATAAGTTTTTGATGCACACATGGATTTAATCTTTAGAAGGTCCTATGCATCTATTTTATTCTCCTCTTCAGATTGTGCATTTCTGGTCGTAAAAGCACATCAAAAAAATAATTCACCATGACTAAATGGGATTCATAACAGGTATGCAAGGATGGTTCAACATAACAGTCAATGCAATTCACTATATTAACAAAGTAAATAACAAGAACCATATGATCTTAGCAATTGACGCAGACAAGGCATTTGACAAAATCCAACATTTCTTCCAGATAAAGACACTCAGCAAAATTGGAATAGAAGGGAATCTCTTCAACTTAGTGAAAAGTATATATGCAAAACCAAGAGCTAACATCATTCTCAATGGAGAAAAACTAAAAACATTTTTCGTGCAAACAGGGACCAGACAAGGATTCCCACTGTCACCATTTCTTTTCAATGTTATATTGGAAGTGCTTGCTAGAATAATACAAGAGAAGGAAATAAAAGGCATTCAGATTGGCAAAGAGATGGTTAAATTGTTGATATATGCAGGTGATATGATAATGTACACAGAAAATACCAAAGACTCAACAACAACAACAAAAAAATCAAAGAACTGTTAAGAGTTAATAGGACAATTTAGTCGAGTGGCAAGTTATAAGATCAATATCCAAAAAATCAATAGGATTCCTCTACAGTAACAAAGAGAAGTCAGAGAAGGAAATCAAGAAACCAATACTATTTACAACAGCCAATCAAAAATTGAGACACTTGGGAATGAACCTAACTAGAGACACAAAAGACCTATACAAAGAAAACTACAGAGCATTTTTGCAAGACACAATAAAAGACCTAAAGAAATGGAAAAATGTGCCCCATTCACAGATGATGTTGTTGATTGTCCTTGAGTGGAGCACGACCCACAACAACCCTATGCAGAAAAGGCCTGAAGTCCCTCTACAACTATCAACATTTACCAAAGCTCATAGAGTTTCCGGAGGCATGTTATTTAGGAAATGTTTATGGAGAGGAAGGCTCAATATTGTGAAAATGACAATCCTACCAAAACCAATCTACATATTCAATGCAATCCCAATCCAGATGCCAAATTCATTTTTCAAGGAGACTGAAAGGGAAATTATCAAACCTATTTTGAAAGGGAAGAGACCCTAAATAAGCAAAATACTTCTGAGAAACAAAAATGAGGTTGAAGACATAGCACTCCCTCACCTCAAAACCTACTACACAGCAGTAGTAACCAAAATAGCATGGCACTGGTTCAATGACAGGCACATAGACCAATGGAACAGAATTGAGAGTCCAGAAATAGACCCAGTTATCTATGGTCAACTGATATTCAATAAGGAAATCAAAGTTATCAAATGGGGAAATGATAACCTCTTAAACAAATGGTGCTGGCAAAACTGGACCTCCCCCTGGAGAAAGCTGAAACAGGATCCACATCTCACACTGTACAAAAAAATCAACTCAAGGTGGATCAGAGACCTGGGAGTAAAGCCCAAACCATAATGTTCATAAAAGACAAACTAGGATCAAGCTTAGAAGCACTAGTCCAAGGTATAAAGAGACTGCCAAATACAACAGTATCCAGGTATTTTAAAAACTGACTATAAAAAAATTTTCACAATGAACAAACAAAAAAATTAAATCACAGGATTAATTAAATACAGGACCCAAATGCAGATAGGTTTTTGTTATAAAAATGGAGGGGGAGAACAAAAAAAAATCTAAATTAACCCAAAACTCAAAAAAATGGCTATTAATAAATGCCTGGTTTTATAAGGACAGGGTCCTCAAACAAAAATTTCATGGTTTTTTATAAACATAAAAACCTACCAAATTACAGATGCATTTATCTGAGCAAAGACTCCCCCACCCCCAATAACTCAGAATCCTTTTGTTCACCTGTTAAGTTTAAGAACACTATCTGGTTGACATCTTAAATTTAAATATCAAGGTCAACATTTTAGTTCTGATTCCACTGCATATTTTTTCCAACATATTTTTCCTCTCCCATGAACTTAAGAGCGTGAAAAGGAGAATACACGGAAATGCATTTAATTATCTTATACTTTATTCATGAATAATCCAGCATATTTACTGACAGTTCACTATATGCCCATCTCTAGAAAGAGCAAGACAAAAACAAAGCTGTCTTTGGCGAGGCTGCCGTCTACAACATAACATAACTGGTTCTGAATCACTGTGAGCCCTCATTTCCTCTTTCAAGATTTGCATAGATACCGATTTCCTCTCTAAATAAACAAAACCCTTCCTTACACAACTTATTCTTTGGATTCTGACAAGAGTAAACTTGAAATTTTTATATTAACACCACTTGTCTGTCAGTTTGTCATGCTGTGGTTGTTTGGGTTTACTTTGAAGCTGGAAGCTACACCAGTAGCGTCACCTATGGTGGACAAGTTCCTTGGAGCTTCCAGCCTATGATTAGGAAGCAGGACTAGCCATTCATTTCTGAAATAATGAACCCTTGAAAATCCTATGAATAGCAATACAACATTGTCCAATATAGTGTCAGAAGATGAGGTTCTCAGACTGGAAAGTCACAGTGGGCATAAGCAGGGCAGAGTAAGGCCGTTGTGGGACTGGACAGGGTTTTACTCAGCTGTACATAGAGCTAACTTGAAAGCAACTACACTTTGGTGTGTCTGCCTGCCTTCTACTACTGATTAGTGAAAGAAAGGAAAACCTTCAACCACATGGACTGACACAGTGACTGCTGCAAAGGGTGTTAGTGTGTCAGAAATTGTGACAATGGCACAGGACAGGACAGGGTTCAGATCTGTTGTTCACAGGGTCGTTATAAATTATGCTTGACTCGACGTCACGTATCAGCAAAACTATGACAATGTTCTGCTATGACACTGGATACAGTAGAAACCCTTTGCACTTCTATCTGTCCAGCTGGATACTTTTTTGGATACTTTGCACAGTGGTTTTCCTGACTGTCAACCTTTGTTGCTTTCCTCCTTACTGGTCACTGCAGTTTCCCCATTTCACATTCTTGGCTTCTTACTGACACAGGTGATTGATCTCTACAGTTAAAAGGCAGCTCTTCAGTAAGGATATCTAATTGAATCAGCATGCCCAGTTAGAATCTCCTGGAATTTTCCTGTGAACTATTTCTTAGCAGCAATATTCCCTCATGAAAGCCACTTACAATTACTACCCTCAAAAGGAGAGATTTCTTGAGGATTCCTGTTTAAAGGTGGCATGGTAAAAAGATTAATAAGATTAATATAACTTAGAAAAAAGAAGGTTCTACTGTCTTATCAATTACTAGATTCTTTAGATCAGTTATAATCATATGGTTTGGAATGGTAATTTATTAATTTAGCAGGCCTGTTGTTATGTGCCATTGAGTGTAGATAAACAAATGCAATTTTTGGCAGTATGGCATTAAATTGAGAATTATATGCATACATCCAGTCCAAAATGGAAAAAAAACCTAACACAGTAAGTGACAAAAAGGAAAGTATTCGTATTCATCGGTATATTCTTTCCATCACAAACTACACATAACTAAGACTTCAACTATTCATGAGCCTTGCAAGTCATACTATATTAAGCAAACTGTCATCCATAAACCACTGATTTTGAAAAATTTTTACCTCAAGGACAAATAATTAAAATTTTAATTTTCAAAATGTTTTCATAATTATCTGTATTCCCTAGTTACAAAAACACAGTTTGATAATCCATATCCCGCAAATAAACTGCTCACGTTGTGAGATTATATGTCCGTCTGTGGTGATGGGAGTCTCATTTTATAAGTTCTCTCTCTCCACTGCGAGAGTGTGAATAACAAGAAAGGTTAGAAGCGTAAACTCTCATTGCCTACTGGCATTTTCAAAGCCTGATTTCATTTACAAAATCCAAAATAGAACAAATTCACTTCGAAGGCTGTGCTTGACGCAGCACTTATTAAGAACTTCCAACTCGATCTCTAGGAATAATTCGCAGTTCTGAACCATGCTTTAGAAAAACATTTCCTAAACAAACAAACAAAAAATAAAGTTAGGTGGATAAACTACAAGTTGTCTTAACATTGAAATTATAACATGCACTAAACAAAGCACTAGGAAACAAAATATACAAAAGCTAAAACAGCATCAGAATCTCATTTTAAGTTTTTAAGCCTTATTCTTATTCATTTTCTCTCTTTGCAGGTTCAACAAATGTCGAGCAACTTAAAGAACACAGGCCATGGAAATGTGAAAAATGTAAACTAGCACTGTGAATTAATTTAACATTATTTGCTTTAATGTATAATATACTATAATCAAGGAAAGAAAAATTAATAAATATAAATTATTACAAGTGACAACAGTTAAAAATACTCCTTCTATCTTGTTTCAATTCTTCAGGTAATCTTCATATTCCTGAGTATGTACAACTGATTTTCTTTTCATTGTGGTGAAAAAATATACAACAAATAAATGCCAATTCAACAGTTCTTCCTTGGAAAATGCAGTAAACACTTCTCAAATCATGCAATCATTCAGGATAATCTTTTCTAAATTATTTAATCACCATTAACATTTTCAATATGCCCTAAGCTTTTCCATCCCACTCCCTCCCTTTCGCGGTTTCCATATATTTGCTAATTCATCTACGTAAGAACATCCAGGACTTGTCCTCTTGCAACTTATTTTGCTCAGTATGACATTTTCATGGTTCATATCTATGTTACCAAGATTTCTCTTCCCTTTACATCTTACCAATATTCCTAAGTCTGCGTATAATACATTTTATTTATCTATTCACCAAATGTTGATAATTGTTTCTGCCTTTTAGCTACTATGACAGGAACTACAGTGAACACTACATGTTTCTGTCTGTCATCTTGAGCAGACATCTAGCACTGGAATTGTTGGGCCACACAGTAGTTCTATGGTCAGTGTTTTGAGGAAATACCAAGTTGTTTTCACTGTGCCTGTATCAATTTATATTCTATCAGCATTGGATGAAAAATCCATTTTCTCCACACTTTGTCAACAACAACAACTACTACTTTTGCCCCTTTTTGTGATCTTTGCCATTCTAGTGAACATGAAATGCTATCTCACTGTAGTTTTGATCTGCATCTCCCTAATAGTTCATGACCTTGAGCATCTTATCATGTGCTTGTTGGCCATATTCTGAAATCCTTTTAGGTGAAATGCCTTATTTTTACTGGGTTGTCTGTCTTTTTGTTATTCGGCTGTAACACATAAAGACCATTAGTGAGGTTTCCTCAGTCTGTCTGCTCCTGTTTTACTTCTTTCAACAAACTCCTTTCACCTTTTATGATGATACTGAAAAGGTGTAAGGTGTCTATGTTATGGCTTTTGCAGCCTGTGCGCTTGTTGCCACAGGTGATTATCCATTGTTAAAACCCAGGTCCACAGCCTTGCTCCCCACCGTTCTGAGATTTCTATGGTCTCAGTTTTCATAGCAGGTCCTAGATCCATTTTTAATTCATTTTTGTAGATTCTGATTCATTTTTCTAAATTCTGATTCATTTTTCTAGATGTAGAAATGGAATTTAAAAAAAAATTAAAAAAAAGAAATGGAATTTGTTTTAGCATCATTTATTAAAAGGGATCTTCCTTCTGAATCGACTAGATTTATCACAGAACTCTTTTCAAAAACCAGCTGACTACAGACACTTAAATTTACTTTACACTCTCAAATCTACTCTGGTCTGTATGTCCTATACAAGTTCCTGCTGTTTTAAGTCACTGTGGCTTGATAGTATGTTTAGAAATCAAAGACGCGTTGAGTTCTATTTGATGACTCTTCTTCCTTGTTTTAGCTATTGGGAGTCCTTGCTCTTCAAAATAAATTTGAGGATTGACATTTCCATTTCTGAAAAGAAGCTGTTGGGTTTTTACCTGGGGTTATAATGAATTGATAGATGGTTTGGGGCAGTATTGATATATTTAACTATATTAAGCCTTCAAACCATGAACATGGAAAATATAAAAAGAATATATTTAGTTCTTTTGAAAGATATTTTAATAATGCTTTATGTGTAAACGTTTTTCAACTTCATGATTTAATTTACTCTTAAAAGAATAAAAATACTTTATTCTTTTACTATTGTAAATGGTAATGCTTTCTTGAGTTCCTCTTTTCCTTGCTTACTGTTCACTATAAAAAGCCGGATGATTTTTATGCTATTCCTGGACAAAACTTCTCTGATTCACTCAGTTCTACTCACTTACTTTCTGTGGATTCAATGGCGTTTTCTATTTACAGAATTGTGTTAGCTGCTAAAAAGTGTAGTTTTACTTCTTCCTTCCTAGTTCAGATGTCTTTTATTTATCTATTTCTTTTCTAGCTTAATTGCTCTAGTGAGGATTTCCATATCAATGTTGAAAATAATGATGAGAGTGGGTTCCCTTGTCCCATTCCTACCTTAAAAGGGAAGCTCAAAGCCTTTCTCCATTGGGAATGTTACCTAAGGAATTTTAATAAAGGTCCTTTATCTTAATAAAGACATCCTCTTCTATTCATATCTTAGGTGTTTCTACAACTAAGTTTTTAAAAGCAATGCAAGAGAAAAGATGTTAGAGAAAGTAGTAATTCAAACTACTAAACTTTTTGCATTTGAAAGAAAGAAAACCAAAAACCTATTTACTAAATTTGGCTACAGTGCGATTGGCACAGGACAGAGCAAAGTTTAGGGCTATTGTACATAGTGTCGCTATGAGTCTTAAGCGACTCGACGGCACATAACAACAACAACATTGTTGTTGTTGTTGTGTATTGTAGAGTTGGAACCAACCCACAGCTCACTCTCCAGTGGGTTTTCAGAGGCAGTTACACGCATGGGAGGTAGAATGCCCATCCTACTCCCACAGAATAGCAGGTGGATTGGAACTGTGTACCTTTGGGACTGGAGCGCAACTTCTTGCCACTAGGCCACCAGCTATACAGCAAATAGAGAGCTCTGGTAGCCTAGTAGGTAAGGTGCTGCGCTGCCAATCCAAAGGCAAACAGTTCAAATTCATCAGCTTCTCTGAGACAGAAAGATGAGGAATTTCCTCCCATGTGATTTACAGCCTCTGAAAACCCTCTAGAGGGTTAGTTATGAATCAGTTCTGACTCTACAGTAATGAGTGAGTGATACAATAAACGGGAGCTTTGGTGATGCAGTCCATAGGTAGCTGTGTTTCTTGGGCCAAAGCTGATGCTTTTCTGGTAGTGCAAATCCACCAGCAGCTCCCAGGAAGAGAGATGGGCGCTCTTCTCCCATGCAATTTACAGCCTCCAACAGCCCACTGAAGGGTCGGCTTCCAGCTGATACTGGCCTGGTGACAGTGAGTTTTTTGAGATACAATAATGCCAATTTTTCAGTAAATAGCCTTTATAATGTAACAAAATTATATACTTAAAAGTACAGCTGACTCTTGTACAATAGGGATTTGAACTGCATGGGTCCACTTAATTATAAATTTTTTTCCCTCTTGCCATTGTGATGAAGTGTTGTGAATATCCACTTAAACATCAACACTGTTGAAGATAATGATCTTTGTGAGGGGCAGTTCCTTTTTCCAGCAAAATTCACATTGCAGTAAAACATGATCTTTGTTAGTTCATCTAGTGTGATACCGTAAGTTTGGAAGAAACCACCGGACACATACAAAGTGCTATCAGTGATAATGGAAGTACTCCCAAGGAGAAAAATCATTAAACTGTAAAAAAAAAAAGGCAAGCTGAAATGCTTGGTATATACCGTAGCTGAAGTGTGCAGCTGTGTTGCCCACCATTCAAGAGAAATGAATCCCACATAAGGATCATTGTAAATAAAAGGAAATGGGTGAAACCGCCACTGCGGCTACATCAACAGATAATAAAATACCTTTTAGTATAGTATTAAGATTCAGATTTTAAGTGGGTCCAGTATCTAATTCATATAATAGACAGTGTGAAGCAACTGTTTTTGATTAGGGAAGTCTCCTGGTCAACAGCAGCCTAGAAGTAGCTAAGTTTTCAGGGAAACCAGAGCTATATGCCGGTTTTCAAAGACATAGGAGGGTCTGTACCCCTGTCTCCCACAATGTTACAGGATCAGTTATGATGATTTCAAACCAATACTATAATTTTAAATGATAATGTGTTTTCTATATGGGTATGTTTCGTTCCCAACATCTCTGAAGACATTATAATTTTAATATATAGGCACTTTAGAGCACCACAGGGAGCCCAGGTGGTAGAGTCTGTAATGCTAATGGAAAGATCAGTGTTTCAAAGCTACCATCCTCTATGGCTTCCCAGGAGAAAGAGAGGCAGTCTCCTCCCATATATAGTGTTGAACCAACGGAAGGTGGTAGCCGTGGGTCAGTACTGACTCATGGACAGTGGGTTAAAATAAAACGATTTAAAAATATTATCAGCTTAAGTTTTGTGGTGTTAGAAACCTTACAAATTGGCTTTTCTAGACACTGCATTAGCCTCCATAGGGAAAATGGTATCCAGATACCTTAACTGTAGACACATACTCTTGCAAATTATCAAGAGCTATAGGAACAATAGAGAGAACTTTCCACACTATTAGACATGGCAAGGATGGTGGTGAAAAGAGGGTGAAGAAACTGTGGCACTGCTGTGAAAAGACTGTGACAAGGTGTAACCACAGGAACCCAGGTGAGGTATTAGCCTAAAAGTTGGTTTTTTCTTAACCATTACAGTTAGGTGTCTCTGGTCTCCAGGTACTTTAACTCCAAACACATGGTCTTGCAAATCAACATGGTCTTACAAATTGGCATCAGCTGTGGGAGTAAGATAAAAGATGCTTTCCATACTGAGCCGCAAGACTTGACCGTAAGCAAGGTTTGTGGTAGCAAGACCCTGGTGAGAGTGAAATCCTGGTGGTGGAGAAACTGTGGCACTGCTGTGGACAAATGGCGGCAAGGTGTGACCTGAGGTTTCTTGCTTTTATGCTGGCCTCTGTTAACAGTCTGGCTGTTCTTGCCAAAATGGTTGAAGAAGAAGCTGACTTATAACCTGCTGGATGCTTGTTTGGAGAAAGTCTTTCTGCACGATTTGGATTTGACTGCTGAACTGAAAGTGCAGCCTGGACTTATTGAGGAATTGAGCCTTGGAACTGCTGGACTAAAGCAGCCTGGACTTGTACCAGGTGATATTCTTTGCCTTTCCCACTCTCCATCTTCCTTCCCCAATAAACCCCATTGTTGGTACCCTAACATTGAAACTGTGAGTAAAACACAAATAAGCAAACCTCTTGCTTTTGGTGTGACTCTGAGGAACCATGGGGCTGGGCTGCTGCTCACGATCAGCTTTCTGTGCAGGTGTGGTGAGGGGCTGTGTTATTATTACTCCCTTGGCCCTTTTAGAGAAAACCACTCAAGGCTGTGTCCCCCTACTGCCCACTTGCTCCTACTCAGACACCTGGAGATGGAGCCACAGTTAAAGTTTTGGTTGCTGGATGATTGAAGGAAAAGCTGATTTGTAACTGCTCTCAGATAAAGTTTGCTGGACAACTGAGGAAACCAGAAGCTTCTTGAATTTGTGTGCTGAACCTAGATTTTCACTTTTCTATTAAGAAGCTGTTTGAACTAATTGAAGAACTGTGTCTTGCTATTACTCTGGCTTGGGACAACACAACATGTTGGCCTAAAAATGGATTTACACTGTGTGATAATCCTTGCCTCCTCCACTCTCCAAACAATTTCCCTAATAAATTCTACAACTGTGAGTAGAGTTTGTGAGTCAATTTTCAACAAACACTGGACCAAATGATAGGCAGAAATAAAGGAGCATGTGGGATGGCAAGCCTGACCATGGATCTATTTGTTTAGTACCATGGATATTATTGTACTGGGAAAATCTGCAGCTAGGGACCCCTCTAAATTATTGAGGAGTAATGATGTCAGTTTGAGGACTATGGTGCATGTGATTCAGGCCATGGTCCTTCTGACTACTTGCTGTGCATCTGAGATCTGAACAATGAATTAGGATGACAGAAGAAGAATTGATACCTTTGAGCTGTGGTGTTGGAGAAGAGCACCGAAAATCTCATGGACAGCCAAGTGAATGAACAGATATGTCTTGGACAGGGTATATAGCTGGAGTGCTCTTTGGAGGAAAGAATGAGACTTTGTCTCACATACTTTGGGCATGTTGCTAGTAGGTGCTATTCCTTAAAGAAGGACATGATGCTGGGAAGGGTGGAGGGTGAGTGAAAGAGAGGAAGACCTTCAACCAGGTGCACTGACACAGTGACTGCTGCAATGGGCTCTTTTGTGTCAAAATGTGAGAATGGCACAGGATAGAACAGGGTTCAGATTTCTTTTCCATAGAGTCACTATGAATCGTACTCAACTTGACAGCATCTAACAACAACTAATAACAATGGGTATTACTGATGGGGATAGTTTCCCTTTATAGAGAGGACAGAAGTCAGACTTGCCCACCCTATGTTGTGAGTGTTCCTTTTGCCAAACTACAGTATGCTCAATTTCAAAACACTGCCAAAGGAATGTTAACCCACTCTACTTACCTTGTCTACTTGTTATGACATAAATATATTCATCTATGCCTTGTTAACAGAATAAAGCTCTGAGAATAGACCAAGTTCTTTGAAATTTAAATGACTCTGCTACTACAAAACAGTAAAAACTAACACTAAATACTTATTACAGAGAGGGCAATTTCCTAAGAACTTTACATCCACTATCTCATAACTATCTTTCTCAAAATAGCACAATAATACCTTCATGTTTTTTGTATATTAAATATCTTCAATACTTAAGTCATACTTACTGTTACTCGTAGCCAAAACATACATCGTCGTTGTTAGGTATCAAGTTGGTTTCAACTCAAAACCATCCTTTGCACCACAAATACCAGCTGCCCTATACCATCCTCAACAACTTTCGCTATGTCTGACCCCATTTTTGCACACACATACAGATGAAAAATGCTTTCTTACTCTCGGAAATTAGATATTCTCTTGTTAAAATTCTACCAAGTCTAATTAGAAGAAATAAAATACTTAGTATCAATTAATATATAGTGCCCAACTATGGTGGCCAACACAAAAGGGAGACACAAATTGCTCCTTGGGAGAAAGATGAGTACTCACCTCTCATGCAATATACAGCCTCGGAAAACTCACTGGAGGATCAGCTATGGGCCATTTCTTATGCGATGGCAATGAGTTTTGTTTATTTTCTACTATATTATTTATTATACATTTTTAATTAAGATACTTACCAGCAGTCTGTGCAGGATTTATTCCTATTCCATCTAGAAAATTAGTTGTAAATCACCCATTAGTTATAGTACTCAAATAGTTTAATGGTGAGAAAAGAGGTTTCCCAAAATAGTACTACAATACTAGTGGCAAACAGTGTCACACAATTTAAATCCTAAAAGAGGTAAGTCATCTGTTTGCTAAGATCTGTTAATAGCAGACATATTCATACATTGCTGGACTAGCTATGACCTGTCACTGCAATGACTCTAAAGTTCTACAGAAGATAATTTTTATTAATCCCTCCCACATTGAGACGAGCCACATCAAGACTTAAATCTTAAGGCTAGTGGATCCTGAAAAGCCTTTTATTTCTGTTCCACTGACACATGAAAGTTTAGAAAAGAAAAATTCTTTTAAGATTTATTCATTTGTGAATCTAACACTTTCCATAAAGTAGGTCAGCTTTCCTCCAAACACAGAAACACTTTAATGTGACAGCTTAACGAGTATTTTACAGTGAGAAATTCTGTCATATCTAAGCTAAATCCTGCTACTGCACCTTAACTCATCATCTCTTGGTTTATCTGAACATCTACGTACCGCTCACTAGCATCCTGTATTCTGAAAGATAACTAAGCAATTCTGGCAATCTTTTATTTCTATTCTTGTTATTTCAGAATTATCTCAGATCAGTACTTTAAGGCATTCAGGTTTTAAGTCACAATATATGAAGAAAATCCTTCCTGTTGCAAGCCAGAAAGAATTAGATTTCTATCATGAAAGCAGCAGCAAGATACAGCAAAGGCATATGATGGCTTATTTTTTTAATAGTATGAAGCATTTATCTACACAATTCTCTTTAACAAAACAGAACAAAATAAAAACTTGTTAAATAAAAATGTTATGTTCAGTAATGATTTGTTACGAAGTCTAAGGACAGAAGACATTTGGCCAGTCAGTTATGAATATGGCAATGAGAAGGAAAAGAAGGTTGTACCCAAAGCTCAGATAAGTTGAAAAGAATTAATTACAGATAATAGCATTGACTTAATCTTTATAACTTAAGGACATCATGCTTGGGAGGATGGAGGGACAGCACAGGAGGGGAAGGCCCTCTATAAGGTGGATTAATTCAGTGACTGGGATAATTGGGATGGGAGTGTCAGAGACAGTGTGATTGGCACAGCACAGAGCAGAGTTTAGGGCTGTTGTACATAGGGTCACTATGAGTCGCAAGCGACTCGACGGCATATAATAACAACAACAACATATTAAAAATATTGACACAAAATTGGGACTTATGCATTTATGCCAATTTTACTTAATTTAGTTCCTTTCAAACAATTTCTATACTTATGAGGTAATAATAAAAAAAATCACAAATGCTTACCATTGGTAATAATTGCACTTGTTGCTGCAGGAACTTTAAACTAAAGGAGAGGAAAAGAAAAAAAAAGTGTGTGTGAGTGTGTGTTATTTATACACACACATAAATAATAACTATAAAAGTAGAATGAGATACATACATTCAATTTTATAACTATAAAATGTGCTTTATCTTTTAGGACAATGTAATTTGCTTTCTTTTGAAAAAATTATTCTCTAAATACTACATTTCATATTATTTAGGATACCACTAATTCTAAGATGTACCTTTTGTTATGTAATATCAAATGAGAAAAACACTGCCAATTAATCTATGATCCAATTAATCTTAACTTTTCCAGAAGTAGACGTATGTCACTGTAATGTTGGACTCTTAACGAAAAGGTCAGTGGTTCAAATCCACCAGCCACTCCACAAGAGAAAGAAAAGATGCTCAGACTATTTCCATTTAGACCCACAGCCTTGGAAACCTAAGGGAAGGCTGCTATGAGTCAGAAAAGATTTTAACGGTAGCTTATCGGTACAGATGTTATGTATTGTCATGCTGGAACCGACCCAAAGGACCCACAGCTGACTTCCAGCAGGTTTTCAGAAGCAGTAAACCGCACAGGAGGAGACTGGCCATCTTGTTCTGTGAAGCAGCTGGTTAATTCAAGCTGTGTGCCTTTGGGTTGACAGCTTAGCTCTTTCACCCGCAGGCCACGAGAGTTATTAAGAATAACTTGGGCAAGAATACAAATGGAAAGGGAGCTCTGGTGGCCTAGTGGCAAGAAGCTGCTTTGCAATCCCGAAGGCACGTGGTTCGAATCCACCAGATGCTCTGCTGGAGAAGGAAGGGCAATCTCCTTCTTTGTCAGACAGATCCAACTCAATGGTACACAACAACAACAATAAGGAAAAAATGGAATATAATTATTAGAATATTCCTAAAATGTCTTCACAAAAATGAAAAGATCAAAACAGGATCTCTGTTGTGTTTAACAGGATATGGCAACATAAGATTTATAAAAATAACCAAGGCTCATATACCTTCTTCAAATCTAAATGAACTGCAAAAGAGTAGTTATATTATCAGGAAGTAAGAACTAAGTTTACTAGGTGCAGGTTTGATCATTAGATAATCACATAACTGTCACAGGACCAAGAGTGACAGTAAGATTCCAATGACTGACAGCGCAAGGGAGCCGGGTCGCTAATGCAAAGATCTTTTTATTTCTTAAAAACAGAAAACCCAAACACATTGTAAGAAATTACATACTTAAACTAACATATATTATTGTACATTTTACCACATGCTCACTAGGAAAAACTGAAATACCCTTCGAAGTACAGAATCTGAAGTAAGAATCAGAACAGGGTATGCTAATTTTGTTTCTCCAAGCAGAATTCAAATACCAACAGTGTCCTTTCAATCTCAATACAAAGTCTTCTGTAAATGTGCAATACTCTTCTATCTGTAAATAAGTCTTAACTTTTTGACAGCCTAAAACCAAACACACACACACAAAGAAACCCCAAACCAATGTGGCTCACAGCATCCTGACACCGCTAGAGCTACAGGGCTTTCTTGGCCATAATCTCAACAATAACAGATCTGGCTGGCCATGAATCTCCAACCTTTAAGTTAGTAGCTGATAGCAAACTATCTGCCATCAATGCATCTAATACAAACCCAGTGACTGATTAATCAATTCATGTTAAATAGAGATCAAAGTATAAGCATGATATAAGAACTTAAAAAAATACACATACACATTGCCAGACTATTCTGAAATAGCGGTTTCAATTCCGTACTTACTTCTTCTGCTGCAAACTTTAAGACTGCTGTGAAAGGTGTACTTTCAGGAACACTCAGTCTGTAAGAATTAAAAAGAACTCAAAAATAGAAATATCTTTAAAAAACCCCCTTTGTTCTTTATTTCAGCTACTATAACAGTCTTGGGCAAAGCGGTCTTTGGAGTTTGAAGGCTGGACATTTTATTTCAAATTACACTTATTCCCAGAAGAGAAAAAAAAACAAAACAAACCATAACAAGACAACTAAATATTACCTTAGAAGACAAAAAAATAGTGACTCTTCTTAAAAAAAAAATAACTACTACTACAACTGCAAATCGATACATTTTTAAAGCTTTGAAACAAACCTTGAAGGCATTGCTTGCTCTGGGATGGGTTTTAAAAAGTGAGTTTCCTGTGAGTCAGGGCATTTTATTCTTCTAGTCACCAAACAAAGTATTCACCAGGTGAAGTACTATTACTATTTTCAGTATAAATAAAGGTGCATGGAGAGCATCAAATGATCATGAAACTTCTATGAACTTTCTTGTGATCTCTCAGGATTCATGTCTAAAAGAATAAACCAAGTCAACAAAAGATGACTTTATGTACTGTGGCAAAATGCTAGAAATGAGGTAACTTCTACCTTTTATACTACCATTTGAAAAGGCTCTTCAAACAATCTAAAATAAGGAGACTGGAAAATGAACATCTCTTTTCAGAACTTCTCCATTTATCACCATCCTTATTAAGGTCTTACTACTATCATCACATAATCTTCTATTTACCACTAGTTTTGTTCAGTTAGTTTGCAAACCACTGAATATAAGAATTCTTGCATCTGACACAGCACATGCTCACCAGTTCTAGCAAAAGAAACTCAAGCAGACTTCTTTTCTGCATCTATTCCAAATATCACGCTCCTCCTACCCACGACCCCCCAAAAGGAGACACTTTATCACAGAAAGGAAGATGTGGTGCCTGAGTGAATAGTTTGCACTGCTAAGCAAAGGCAAGTGGTTCAAATCTACTAGCTGCTCTGCAGAGGAAAGATGGGCAATCCCCTCCCATGCAATTTATTATTGTTAAGTGCCCTGCTAAGTTGCCCTCGAGTTGAGTACAACTCATAGTAACCATGTGAACAACAAATCTGAATTCTTCTCTTTTCTGCGCCATCCTTATCATCCCTAACACACCTGAATCAACTGTTACAGTCACTGCCAATCCATCTCATTGACGGTCCTCCTATTTTCCTCACCCTCTACCTTTCCAACCATGATGTCCTTTTCCAAGAAATAGCCTCTCCTTACACAACCAAAGTATATGAGATGAAGCTTCCCCATCCTTGCCTCTAAGGAGTACTCTAGTTGCAATTTCTCTAAGACACACTGCGCTTTTAATAGTTCATGAAATATTCAGTACTCATCCAACATCACAACTCAAAGGCATCAATTCCTCTTCTTTCATCCTTTTTCACTACGCAGCTCCAAGACACATAGCCAAGGACTGGAAAGATCATGTCTTGAATTAGGTTCATCTTAGTCATTTAAATTGACACCACTGCTCGTTAGGACTTGGGAAGACATCCCTGGCAGTAGACTTTTACAAGCTATAGATCTCTAGATCTCAGACTGCTGATACTAAGGGTGTTGATTTTGGATCCAGGTAAGATGAAGTTGTTGACAGTTTCAATCTTTTCTCCATTTATCATGATGCTGTCTATTGGCCCTATGGTGAGGATTGTTGTTTTCTCTACGTTGAAATGTAATCCATATCGTAGTCCTTCATCTTCTGCACAAAGCGCTTCAAGTCCTACTTGATTTCAGTAAGCAAAGTTGTGCCTAAAAATCCACTCGAGGGTCAGTTATGAGTTACTTCTGACTCAATGACAATGAGTATACTCTAGTGTTTCTCAAAGATGTTTCAAAGACCACCAACTACATGAATACATAACATTATAGTATGAATTCATTAACAGGATCACTACTAATGTTAAGTGCTATTGAGCTGGCACCTAACAACATTGTTGTTGTTGCTGATTGCAGTTGAGTCGAGCAAGACTCAGCGAACCTATGAACAAAAGGCCTGAAGCCTTTTTATAACTAGCGCATTTATCAAAGTCCCCAGAGTTTCCAGAGGCATGTTGTTTTGAGAGAGGCAAACTTAAAACTATAATGAACTATTATCTCAACTGGCAATAATGGTGCTCATTAAAAAAGAAGACAACAACAACAAAAACTAAGCCAGAAAACAAGTGCTGGCAAGGTTGGAGACAGGGCTCTCATATATTGTCGGCGGGAATGTAAAACAGTACAAATCCTATGAAAAATGGTATGGCACTTCCTCAAAACAGTAGTAATAGAAGTATCATATGGTCCAGCAATCCTACTCGAAGGTGTATGTCCTAGAAAAACAAGAGCTGCATCATGAGCAGACATATGTATGTCCATCTTCATTACAGCACTGTCCACAAAGGAAAAAAAAAGAGAGAAGTACTATTTTCATCAGTGGGTGAATGAATAAAACAAGCTGTAGTATAAACACAATGACACACTACGCAATGTTTAAGACTAAAAAGGAATCCAAGAAACCTCTCACAACACGGATGAACCTGGAGGACATTATGCTGAGTATTATTCACAAAAGGATAAATAAATGCATGAGACCACTATTTCTGTAAAAAGTCCAGAAAAGGTTTAGAGACAGAAAGAAGCCTTTCTGACGTCTACTAGGTGGGAGGGCTTGGGAAAGATAGTCATTAATTATAGAGTGGACTTGACTAAATTAAGAATTCTACAGCTTTTACATACTTTGGACTTGTTACATGGAGGGACCAGTCTTTGGAGAGGGACATCATGCTTGGGAGGGTGGAGGGACAGCATAAGAGAGGAAGACCCTCAATGAGATGGACTGATTCAGTCACTGAGGTAATGGGGGTAGATGTGTCAGAGACAATCAGCCTGGCACAGGATAGAGCAGGGGTTAGGGCTCTTGTACATAGGGTTGCAAGTGACTTGATGGCATATAACAACAACAAAGAAGACAATGTTTCCTGATCTAATAGAGACTGACAGAGATCCCAAGGTTACGGTTTTTAGAGACTCCTCTAATTTACAAGTGAAGCCAGTCCTGGAGATCACCTTTAAGCCACATAAAAGACAGGTTTTACACTGTTACTCCTGGGAGGAACATGCTTCTCAAAGAAATCAAGTAGGTGATCAAACAAGTATCATTTGCCCAAAAGCAAAGCTAAGAAGGTAGGAAAACTAGGCGAACTGAAAGGAGGAACTCAAGGTGAAAATGGAAAAAGTACTGATATAATGTAGATTACAACCGGGTCCCTTTAGAGTAGTGAGAGAAGATCTTCACCC